GAACATTCTAACGCAGTCAATACCCTTCCTGATCTTCTACTATGTCTGTCATGGTCATCACCAACCCTTGGTTCCCTATGATTCTGTTTCTCTGTTCACTCACTGATGGACAGTCATGGAACCACAACCATTAAAGTCTGCTCTAAATCAACACAAGCTAAGTATAACTGGGCTCTCCTGCTGTGCAATAATCCTGCCATTCTTTCCTCAATTGCATTTTACAAAACAGTCATTTTAAACCTTTTTGACTCTTCTGAAGTCTTCAATTCCACCCAGCCTTCTCAGAAATATTATTGTCTACTGAGAAGACCAAGGGTGTCTGTATTGTCTATTTCCCCCCATGCTGTGTTGTTACTTTCTCCCAACTGCCCTGCTGTCTCAGATGAAGTATCTTTCCACCTGTTTACAGGTGCTCTTCAGCTCCTCCTGTTGTCTCTTCAAGGACCCTGATTCTTGTCTGCCTTACACTTTCACTCTCTCCTCTTGCTCTATCTTCTTATCTTTTGCTTTAAAAAAAAAAAAGTTATATCTAAGCTCTCTTTCTTTTCATGATCTAACTACTAGAAAGAGGAGTCTCCACTCATAGCTCCACACGTATACCCACACAATCCCTCTCCCAATGCCGACCTCCACTGTGCTTCTGAAGTGCTCAAGTCCTTCCAATCACCAAATCCAATGGCTTTCCTTGGCCAACATCCTTTTTGATTCTTCTGTGGCACCTCAGACTCAACCAACACAATAAAAACTGAACTTAATGTTCCTCTCTTTCCCCGTTCCCACCATTGCTGACTGCTTTCCCATTTCTCGTAGTTAAGCCAAAACCTCCTCTCACCACCCAATTTAGTTATCGAGTCCCCTTCCTTCCACCACTGTCATGTCTGTATCGCTCAATTCCTTCCTCTCCATTGTTATGACAGACAGTGTCCCTGTTCAGGCTCCATGTACCTGTCAAGACAAGTTAACACATTCACCAGTCTCCTAGCTTCTTTTCCCCTTGCTAAAATACCTTTCACAGAGCCTCCATCGTCTAACAAATAAAATTAAAATATTTTATTCTGAGAACTAAGGCCTAAGAACTGGCCCTAGCCTTTATTTCTAAGCACCGTGACCCTCCTCTGTTCCACTTCATTTCATATATTTCACATTTCCTCTGAACTCCGGGAGAATTCATAGTTCCCAGAATTTGCCCTGCATTTTCTCACCTCCATGCCTGAATCAGGCCAGTCCATCCCCTTGTAATGTTCAACACCGTTCTTTACTTATTGAAATCCTTTTTGCCCCCTAAGATTTGGTGAAGATGCCATCTTTTCCTATCTCTGTAGCTGCAAGTTATTCATTCCTCCCTTGAACTTCTAGAGTTCAGATATGCTCATCTCTTTCTTACATACTCTTATCTCATGTTCTTTTATATTATCGTTACCTGTGTACTGGCCTCACTGTCCCTATTAGATGTGAAGCTCTTGGAGACAGTGATGATGACAACAACTGTAATATTAACCATCAACAAGCTCATACCATATTCCAGCTCTGGGCAAAGCACATAACTTCATCTCAGAAGCCTATGAGGACTGTCTCTGTTTTCAGATGTGATTAAGCAATGTGCTCAGGCCAACACCTAGGAAGTGGTAGAGCCAGAAATTGAATTTAGGCTTGTCTGACTTCAAAGGCCATGCTCTTGACTACTATCTGGTATTTCTCACCACCCATAGACTCGACCAAAAACCACTGAGTACAACATCCTCTTCACCACTGAGTACAACATCCTCTTCATAAGTCCCAGTAGGGAGGATAGTTTACTTAGCTAGGTTCCCCAGGGTTGCTGAGCCTGCTTGATCAACACATACATTTACAGGGAGAAGAAACCGACAGCTTCAACTCCAACTCTTAAAGGATGATTTCAAAAACAGAACAAAGTTTTTATGCCTCAAGAGTAAAGAGAACATCAGATGCAAAGTGAGAGAAAAAGCTAATTCACTTGGATTAGGTAACAGCCTGATTTTGTCTTTCCTCGGAACCATCGATATCAGCAAGGCAATGAATCAAGGCCACTCCAAAAGCCTTACTTAGATAATTGAAACCACGTTTAGAAAGAACCTCCAAAATTCTAATTTCTGAGGCTCTGACATCAGCCCTGAGAAAACATGATAACTGTATTCTGCTGACAGAGTCAGGACCAACATAAATGTGATGTCTTATTTTACATATGCACAGGGAAATAACGTATGGCACACGTAGGTTTCAGTGTAAAGAAAAGTGCTGGTTGTTGCTGTCTATACGTAAGCAGCTAAGGGCTGTAATCCTCCGAGAGGAATGTCATTATACAGCTCAAATCCCATCACAACAAATACCCTTACAACAGAGATGTCTGTATAACAAAAACCCTTTCAAGCTTTGGCTGACAGCCCACGTTCTACAGCAATATTTGATGTGAGACTTGGAGTTCACAGTAATGGGAATTGACCTATATTTCCAAAGGTAAGATTTGAATGATTTCATCTGTAACTTCTATCTCGTGATACTATAAGTTGGAGTGATGTACAATCTAAACCCATGAGTATAAAAAGTAAACACAAAGACAGAAACAAAATCAACCCTGCCCTTAAAGGGCAAAATTCCTTCCTTTCACTTGGGGAACACTTCAGTAAAAGAGAAGGCCTCTCACCCAAGCCCTGAAATAGAGCAGACTAAGGCTGGTTTGTGGCCTTATCTCACTGAGAGGCAAGATGGCGTAACACATGAAGACAGAGGGACTGTGCTCAAATCCCTACTCTGCCACTTACTAGCTGTGTAAACTGGGTTATATTTCTTAATTTTTTTTCTCAGCCTTACTTTCCTCATCTGTAAAATGTGACTAATACCATCTACCTTCAGGATTTCAGTAAGAACTAAATGAGATAACATATGTAAAGCTCCTAACATAGGAGCTGGTACATAGCACGTGCTCAAAAAAGTTAGTTTACTCATTGGGTCTCCCTTCCCCTCCAAGACTCTGGGTTTATGCAAACTATTTTAGTGAAGTTATTTATAAGACCTAGTGAATGAAGTTAACAAAATGTATATTCTTAAATAGCCTGGTAAAGATATTGCTCAGAGGAACACTGGGGAAAAGAGAGAAAATGGTAGAAGAACTAGGCAATGCACAAGTACTTACTTGACAGAGAGAAAAGTCTTTTTGGCTAAGGCAAGACATGCATAATCAAAAGCTAACATGCAAGTAACCAGGCATCATAACAATAAATAAGTTCTGATTATTAGGTCAGAGGTCATTTTCAAAAATGTTGGAAAACGGAAATTTGGAGGCATATTTTTCTAGTCAAGGATGAACTGTGGTTACTGTTCTAAAGCACCAGTTTACTGCCTCTGGCCTAGTTTTCTGCGGGTACCATTCTAGATGGTGGGAGGGCCCTTATTTGCTAACTCCTTAGCTCCAGTCCAGTGCTTTATACTGCCTTTCCCCAGTAGAATACTGTGAAAGTTAAGTATTAAAAAATTCTAGTCATCTCCATTCAGAAAACATGTAGATAAATAATTCAAGAATACAATCAATAAGGGTTCTTAATATTGCCCTAATTTGTGATATTTTCAATCATACTGATTTTTAGATATCTAATTTTCTACTTTACAAATTATGAGACAATTGAGTTTGTAGTAACAAAATTCTATATGTGTTCTTCTGAAAACACTCTGGTTATATGATATGTTTTGAGATAGAAAATGAGAGTCTCAAGAACATAATCTGAAGGCATGTCTGTTCACTTTTATAAAATGAGTATTAGCCAGGAACTTTTAAATTCCTTAAAAGGTTCCAAAAAGTCCTATCAGACCTCAGCAACTATAGGGAACAAGAGATGTCCCAACAGTTCTCAGAGTCACAGAATATCAGAGTCTTAACAATTACTTAGTCGTAGTCCTTCACCTTGACAGTAAGGTAGATGCTCAGAGAAAATTATGTACTGATATTCATCTGCTCAACTCAAGTGTATATACAAGCCAAAGCAATGAGCTTTCAGGAGCTCTCATGAGAAGCCACACAAAAATAAAATTACAAGCCAGAAAGAAATATCAAGGTGCAGAGAAACAGGAACTGTAAGACCCACAGAAAGATGAAGGAGCCCTGGGTAGAAAGACCAAGAGATCAAGAACAGAGACAGAACAAAATTGCTAAAGCAAGGTTAAAACATCGACATAGACCAAATGGTAGCAGCAGAGAAGATGCTTTAAATTCAGTCTGCACAGAGCTTACAAAGGATAACTCCCATACACACAAGGTTTAACCAGGTACAGAGGTTTCTGGCCTCTCTATTTTAATAACTATAACCCCCCATCACCCTCATCTTAAAATGGAGGCAGTAACAACTACCAGATTGTACACTTGAATCTTACCACTGGTAAGGGCGTAAACCACAAGCATTTCTGAAGGTGTGCTAACTATTTCAGGCCACTAGGGTGCCACTTCCTGCCCCAAAAGGCACATTTCACTTAATGATCCTCATCTAGACCCCAAGAATTGATGTCCCTCTTAAAAGTGTACCCTTTATTCCTTACACCAGTGGTATCACACTAACTGTTCATAAGGCATTTCAGAATCCCCACAGGCGATGGAAAAGTGAAATGCAATTGTAATTACATGGGTAATAATAGGAAGGCAGGGGTAGAAAGAGTTAGCTCCTGAAATGCAAGGCTGAGAAACACTATTCCTTAGAGAGGCAGTCGCTCCGCTCCAGAAGAGCCTGCGCTGCCTAGAAAGTGACCTCAGGAGAGCAATCACGCGCCTGGACAGAGGCGCAGCTGCTCACCCTCCCTCCGCTCCTCCCTCCCTGGTCCCAGGCCAGCTCGTCCACCTGTCCAGGAGGCAGGCGGGCGGGGGCGCGGGGAGGAGCCGGGCTGGCTGCAGGGCAAAGGGGCAGAGGGCCGGCTCCCACTCGCAGTCCTCCCTCCTGCAACGCCCAGGGATGCCCACGACCCGGGCCCCCCCAATCACGCATCCCCGCTGTCTGTACCTTTACTCTGGGGAGGGTTCTGACTCCGGTCCCGGAGGACGTTGATCTGGTAGACGGCTCCGTAAGGCTCAAAAAGTTCTTTCAGCTCCTTTTCCGACCAGGACCGGGGGATCTGTCCGACAAACATCTTAATGGCATCTGGGTCTGGTTGGTCTGAGTGATCCAAAGCGCCGTTCATCTTGCTGGCTGTGCCGTTACTGTCAAAAGGGAACCGGGAGCCAGAGTTAGGGCTGCACGGTGAGGGACAGGAAGAAAAAAATGGGGGGGGGGTGAAGGCGGGGAGGCGGAAGGAGGAGGAAGAGGAGCACGGGGCAAAGTGCCTAATGAGTCGTAGAAATTTGATGAACTAAAACAAAGCACAGGCACCATTAGGTTGCTCCTCGGCGGCAGCGGCGGCGGGCTCTCACTGCAGGCTGCTGTTCAGCATCGGCGCCCGAGCACAGGGCAGCGCCCCGCCGGCTGTCACCCGGGGCGTGGACATCTTGAAACCCGGCTCAGGAGGCAGCTGCAAGTTAAGTGCAGGTCTCGCTCTGCAAGGCTGCCATCAACGCATCCGCAGCGTTATCAGCCCCACACTGGCTCTCGTATGGAAAGAAAGGCAGGGCTGGATTTCTGCTGGATTTCCCCCTTCCACCCTCCCCTTCTCCTTTTTTTGGAGGTTTTTGGAAGAAAAGAGAGAGGTGGTAATAATAAAGTCACATGAAAAGAAAATGAAACACTTGGCAGTCCATCAGATGACTAATGCAAGATGCTGGTGATGAATTTGCAGAGTGTGCGAGGCATCCATGTGTGCATCAAATTAGTATGTTGTTGCTGCTCAGAATGGAAAGTGCTCCAGCAATGCGGCTCGGTGCAGCCGATTGGTTGCCCACGCTTGAGAAAAGGGCTGGGGCCTGGAGGGGGCTCCCGATTAAAAAGCACATTGTTTATGGGACCCGGGCACAAAGGGTTTAATTCAGAGAGGCAAAGGCGGTCTCAGAATTGCCTGCTTTGTGCCGGGGAAAAAAAAAATGCAGCCCCAGAAAGTTGAGTTCCCGCTAAAGGACACTGAATATTTCAAATCTTTCACACTCCATAAATTGCTCTCTGTATATCTGACTTCCAGATGTTGCACTTGAGTTCTAAACAACCACACGTTTGGGAGAGACAAGAGGAAAGTCTGCTTTTTCTTTTCCTAGCTTCAGTAAATATTTGGGGCTGATACAAAGAGCAAGACCATAAGCTTCTGCATATCAATCTTCCTTAACGCCGTTTTCCAAAACTCTCATTTGGAAGAGAATGCTTGTTTAGAACTTACAATTCTCATCACCATCATGTAATACAATGATGAAGGTATTCATTTTTCACTTGGATCCCCCCAATTTAAGCTGCAGTAAATAGTAAAGCAAAACCACATACCCTCTTCATCTTGTCCCCTCCTAATGCACCCTAAACCCACCTACTCTGCCAAGTGACAAGCCTGAATGCCCTGAACAGCATTCATTTGTAGTACTGTGCTCTTGGTTTAGCTTCCGGGTCTGTGAAAATAAAAAGGAACCTAAACAAGTGCAAACCCACCAGACATAGTATCTACAGAGCCATGTCCATGACCGTCCCCCAGGCCCCAGGCCAATGAGGAAGAAAGGTCAATAAGGGGACACATGGACTAAAATTTCACTGCAAATGGCAGGTGTCATTTCACCCTAGCCTCGGGGTAATAGTAAGAAGGTATTCAAAGACCTTAAGCAGGGTTCCTTATTTGGTTAAAATGAACAATCAAAAAATACCAGAGCACCTTAAATTGGCTGTGGATCTAGCCTAGTCCTGAGCCCTTGAGGGAAAATAAATAAATAAATAAAGACCCTGATGGCTAAAAAACAAAAAAACTTATGGAAAGGAGAAATCTTGAATTCAATTTAATCCAGAGAAGAAAATGATGGCAAATATTCTTCACTAGGTCCTGGCTTCAATTTTCTACTTCTTCTTATCCCCCTTACTTTGCCATTTTATTTTTTATCCTTGAGATAAACAATCAGACTGTCTAACTTGAAGCTCTTTCAGAGCTTTTTCTAATCAACCTTATTGTTATAAAAAAATGTTCTGCTGAATAAAATATTGAGCACGAAAATCTTCTTTCAACAATTTAGGTGTAATGTAATGCTTGTTTATATTAGAGCCCCATCGTTTATCTTGTTCTTATGCACCTATACTTCTTTTCAAATCACCCTTTGAGAATTCAATAAATACTTTTACCCCGTGGAGCTGACTTCGGAAGGGTGGAGGTGGCAAAGTCCCACGCAGAACAGAATGTAGTGTTCACAGCTTGTTGAGAGCTGAGAGTGTGGCAAGACTTATTTCTGGGACAGGAAGGACTTGTGGTAACTGCTGTTGACAATCAGCTAGAATGAAAAGAGGAAGGCATTGCCACAGGTCTCAGCTAACAGTGAACGGAAGTTCGAAAAATGGGGCTGTTGCATCTTCTCTGTGCAGAGCACAGCTAACAACAACGGAGGAGTTAAGTCACAGTATATTAGTCCTAATATCTAAACTTAGAATTCTAGAGCAAGTATTCCTTAGTGTCTTCCTAAATGAGGGGCCATTTTTACTTTCTCAAAAAATACACACTCACAGAGACACATGAAGGAAGGGAAACTGAGCAGAGCTTACGTGTTATACCTTTGGTCTTTATGTTGGTCAGTGCATATTTACAACCCCCTATCCCCCAGCCATCCTTCACAGATGCCTGGAACAGTGGGATATCGGGGCTTATCATCTTGAAGCAGTGGGGTGTCGCGGCTCAGAGCATGGGCTCTGAATCCTGGCACCACCACTTCCTAACTGTGCCACTCTGGGCCTCAGACTCTTCATCTGTAAAATGGGAACAATAAACTCCATCTCATAGAGTCATGTGTTTAGTACAGGACATGGCACAGAGTAAGAGTCAAATAAGTGTTAGCTATTTCTACTGTTAATCCCTTCTTTGCCCTTGTGATGCATGAGTTGTATGCTTGGGTTGAGAGTGATCAGCCCATGGCAAATCTATAAGACAAGGCCAAGAGCAAGTCCTACTGCCAAAGAAAACGTAGCACTAAAAGAAACACACACACACACATTTTCCTCTTTCCATCTGTGGGAAGGAGGGGGGAAAGTGCTGAACTTAATAGTCCCTGAAGACTACTTTAAAACCCACATTTTCTCAATTATCACATAACAATGTCTGTATCTCCACAGATTCTCTTTATTCTTATTCCCACAGGGTCACACCAGTGAGTGCCTCTCGTTCACACCTACATCCTTTCCCAAGTACTTGCCATTTTGCAAACAACTATTCCAAAGATTTGCATCAAATGCTAAAGGCATGACAATTCCTTCCTTAAGTAAATCCCAAAACATGTAACTGTTCTACAATCAACAACAGCACATCTTCCCCATCAAAGCTTCTATGCAGGATAGATGGTCCTACCCCACAACAGCCTGGTTAACTTTCTTCTAATGTACATAAGCTCCTCCTTCTTTGGACTCCCAACTTCTTCCTGGCTGATGCTCATTTATAGTGGACAGTTACTGACTTCGTTTGTCGTCATGGAGCTGTAAGCACTGACACTTTTAAGGAAGGCAGAAATTATGTGTCCAACAGTTAAACCTTAGGGGGTACTTACCAGAGACCGTGGAGAGCCAATATGCTCTTCACAGAGGAGCAATTATGGGAACAGATACCCCAAATCTAAGGAAGACTCTCAGTAAGATCTTTTATTTACAAAAATTTGATCTCAAGCTTAGCAAATCAGACTAGCTTGCTTCTCTGCACTCCCCAGCCATCCTCAACACCCACTACAGTGCAGGAATTAGATTCAAATTCAACTAACGTTTACTGAGAGCCTATTCTTTGCCAGAAAACTTTGCCAGGTACTTGACATACAATACCACAACAGCTCCAGGAAATTGAAATCATTATCCCCATTTTGGAAATGAAGCAATTGAGAGTCATGGAGGTAAAGTAACTTTTCCTATGCCACACTCCTAAGGATAGGTGCCTGCAGAATCTGGACACAGCAAGATGCAAAGGCCAACTGTTGTTGCTTAATATTCCAGGAACTGGGTTTCTCTAGAGTGATACTTCCTGTGGACTCAGTAGTCACTTGCAGGCCGAGACACAAGCACATACATCTCTGCTGGTACCTCATTTACAAACTATAACAGGATCCTAAGCACCAATTCTGCTTTTGCTCTTGGCAAGGAACCAACTATAAGGCTCCTCCAGGACAGATGCCATATGGAATCGGACCACAAGTTAGAGAGCACTAAGCCAGCAGGCATTGGTGCTATCAGTCTCAGAGCCAAGATGAAAATATAATGACGTTTGGGGAAAAAAATGAGAGTGCTTACTTTTTGCTTTTAGCACAAGCACTGACCTACTTCCCTATTCTATTTTTGAGTAAAGAGAAGTAGATCAACAGAGGATATGCAAAATCTTCTGAGGTTCCTCTAGGCAGTAAAATATTATAAAAATTATAATAGTTGATTCAGTGGATTATTATTATTGTTATTAATTCCAGGTCAATGAGCTTATATAAGGCCCAGTGAATTGCAGGTTTCCATTTGGAGAATGGAAAGAAAAGAACAGATATTTCTATTCACTCATCTTGTTCAATGGATAGCAACTTTCTGCACTGTTATCTCCTTGATCTATATAAAAGGATGAACAACAAACTTACAAAATGGGTATGAGAAATGCCAAGTGGCTACAAATAATTATATTAATGCTAAAAAAAAAAAAAGATATAAAATGCCACCTTCAGAAGATATACCAACTCCAAAACGAAGATGCCTTGTCTTGGAAAAATTCTGTATAAAGAAAGCTAATCTCCCTGGTAGTTAGCAACAATCTTATTATTCCCATACTTTTTATCCATTTTACTTTTTTTGTTCCTTGGGATATCCTGTATCAGTGCTGTCTAACTTGGTGCAATGATGGAAATATTCTATAATCTGCACAATCCAATATGGTAGACACTAGTTACGTGTAGCTACTAAACACTGCAAATGTGGCGAGTCCCACTGAGAAACTGAAATTTTATTTAACTTTAATTAATTTAAATTTAAATAGCTTTAAATGAAAATATACTTTTTTTTTTTTAACTATTAGAGTTGAGATTCATCAAAACATATTATTTCGTCAGGAGGTTGCTTGGGAAAAACAGTAATGAGGGGCCAGAAAAATGACACCACGCTTGAAACACTCAACAGCAGGTCAGTGGGACAGTGGGCTGGCCGGCCTGGGTTATTGTCTTGGCTCAGCATTAAATTAACTGTGGGATCCCATGCAAATCATGTAACCACTCTGTACCTCAGTTTCCCCACTTGAAAAACAGAAAAATAGCTCCCATCTGGCTCTTAATTTCTGTCATTCCACAATTATGGTTTGGACCCAGATGATGATAAATGGAGAAGATAATTTGGATAATACGACCATCTACCTGAAATCTTGAGGTGATTCACCATCTGTGTCCAGTTTAGTCCCCAGGGATCACAGGTGACTAAGCCATGACCTGGGGAGCTGACAAGGCATCACCTACATCGTGGACAGTAGCCTGCAGGTTCAGATAGAACTGCTGAGTGGCTGGTGGCTTGGGGTTGCCGCCAGAGCATCATCTCTCTCCATTTGTGCCAATTCTTCCTAATATCCCAACTGCAGTCCCATTATTTCAGCCAGCTGACAGGCTGCTCTTTCACAGGGCTGGAGAATCGTTTTTTAATATCACTTTTACTTAAGTAATAGCACACAAAGAAACAGGCTTTGCTT